TAATATACAGGGTTTTTTTTTGTTTGTTTGTTTGTTTGTTTGTTTGTTTTGCATTCTAAGTTAGTGATTTATTTTTAACACTTAGCTGAAGAAATCCTTTAGGTGTTAGGAAGGTATTTTTAAAACCTTTGAAAGGTATTTTCCAGAATAGCAGTTATTAGGAAATAAATGACTTTTTAAAATAATATGTTTCTGTATTTCAACACAGTTCTTTGGTTTGTAACATTTTTAGTTGAAATCAAAGATTAATATGCCCACATCGCCTTTTAAACATGTATTTAGGACTTGATTTTTATGATCAATTAACTTCAAATTGCTATAAAATAGTGACAATGTTATCTCTTTTTGCATTTGGCCGACTAGATTACCACCTGAGGGTATTCCTTTGTCACCCGAAGCCTGCTTTACAATATGACCTATACTATACTGTGCTACTTTTATTGAATTCTCTTTAATTTTCTCTAAATGAAAATATCTAACAAGTTCCATGTTTTTGCATTTTAAGCATCCTTTCCACGCTGACCATTTTATGAAGGTTAAAATCAAATTATTGAAACATCTCTCCCTGAGTTCCTATGCCTTTTTTTTATATCCCTGTAGTTCATATACTTGCTTTTCAATGTTTCCTTTCTTTTCTTTTTTCCTATTTCACTTCCATTGGGGAATTTTGCTGAAGGATAATGAACCTTTCAGATCTTCCAATAGTATTATATAGCATTTTTTAAAAAAGAATGCCCAATTATCCCCCTGCCCCGGTATCTCTACCAAGGAACCATAAAAACTGTTGTGTAATATAATAGAAAAAGATCTGAAAGAAACTGATAAAATATTTTCCTCTGATAGCAGATTATTGGATGCTAACGTTTGACATTGGCCTTAACACCTTTCACTGAAGAAACATATTAGGAAAAAGTTAACCGCTACAGATAAACCCTTACCTATCAGTCATTTTATGTAATGAAAGTCTTTTTTCTCACTCATGTGAAGTCCGGGAGGCAGAAAGAAGCCAGTGGAAGGGACAGAGTGGTGTGCAGGGCACTGTGCCATCAAGGAATTCAGGCGGATAGAAATTCTGTCAGGCTTCCAGCTCCTGGGCTTGTCAGGGGAACCTGAGATTTTCCACTAATCACCAGTGGATGAGTGTAACTTCTGAACTATGCGGGATAAATTTTTGTTTGCTTTTTTTTTTTAATGAAGCAAGTGCTCTTAATAAAATGATATTTGTTTTAAATGTAGATATTTAAAAAGAACTACAATTTTTATTTGCAATGTAATTTTTTACAAATCAAGAACATTTATAAAGTATTACCTTGATATATAATCCTAATAATGCCAAGTAAGACATTCTATGTCAGAGAAATACTGAAGTCAAGGAAAGAACCAGTTTCATTTGTGTGGACAAAGTTTAATAACAACTACTACTTGCCATTGGGTTTTAAATAATTTTTGGAGATTATTAGAATATTTTCTTAAACTATTGGTTTTACCAACCAATTTATTTCTATCACTGTGAGCTCTCATCTAATATGAATTAGCTTAGAGAGCATCGTTGCAAACCCTGAAAGCATGTGTCTCCTCTTCTGAAGGAGTGGAAATCGTGAAAACTGAAAATTATTTGTTATACTGGGTTTCTGCATCATTATGAGAATGGCACCCTTCACTTGAGTCATGAAATTTAAATCAGAAAGACTTCAAGTTCCTCATGGAGAGACCCAGCAAGTTTTCACCATCTTAAATTGAATTTCTATCATGTAACTATTTTGACTGAGAAATATTGTGAATGACAGATTGTCAAATAAAAATATGTTTTGCTATTTAATTTGTATTTAATTATTTAATAAAAGTGAATTTTGGTATACATCATATTGTCTACTACTACAGATATTCTGAATCAGTTGACAATTTTTGGTGTCTGATTTGGATGCATGAGGGATGATAAAATTGAATGTGCGTTTACATTTTAGCTGAAAAGTGACGATGAAACAAAGAATTTGGAAGATAGGGGAGAACTTGCAATTAAATACTTTCTAACTTAAGCATTAACTTAAACTCTCCATGAGTTAGCTTTCTGATCTTTAAAAGAGTACATAACAGTATCCATGATATAGCATGTGCGATTTGGTAATTAAGGAAATAATTTGTGGAACACACTATAGTGCTTGGTACATATTACTCAAGAGATGTTAATTGCTTTTATTTTTATGAATGTTATTCAGGAGTTCAGTTTTGACGTGGTGGGTTTGAGGTGATATTTATAATGTTAAAATTCTTAAGGATATAATGGTAGAACTTATTTCAAATAAATAGATCCTTGGGTTCTATCTACGTATCAGTTCTCAATACAATATTATAACAGTTACAGTGTTACCATGAATGTGACAAAGGAAATGTAAGCCCTGTGGTAAGAATTCCGACTAGAACAGGGTTTCTCACCACTGTTAGCATGTTGCTCTGGCAAAATCTTGGGGTAGGGGGCTGGCCTGTGGATTGTAGGATATTTACCTTCATCCAACTGGGTGCCACCAAATGGTAATGACCAGAAATGTCTCCAGCCCCTGCCAAATGTCCCCTGGAGGGCAGAACTCTCCTGGCTGAGGATTACTGGAGTAGAGGGGATCTTGTAGGCTCCTTCAGGTATATGGAGGAGTTTTAGTACTCAGAAGAAGGAGCTGACTCAGTGTAACCCAGAAAACAGTACTGATTGATAAAGGCAGTTTGTTAGAAGGATATTTTCTTAGTTTGAACTAGCTAAAAATAGAGTGCATTGACAAAGCTCACCTTTTGGCAGGTCTGTCTGAAATGACGGATCAGAAAATCATTCGAAGTGAGGTCGTAGTTGACAAGACAGCAGCATGGTGGTCAGGAACTGAGTTTTAAGGAATGTTTACAACCTAAAAGGGGATTCTGGAATGCAGGCTACCTTCATAGACCCTGTAGGGTGTCAGGAAGGATGAAGGAAAACCAAGAAAAAAAAGTATGCAGGGGAAGTTTCACAGTGAATGGTTGGTGTTGTCAGCTGGGACGTGAAGGTCAGTTGACAGAAAAGAGCAGTGTATTTAATTCCTTGAAAGCCTTGGAGAGGAAGGTACCCTATAAAGTGGTGAATATTATCTATGTGTTAATCATTATTAATATTAGCATTTTATTAGCATATAAGCCAGATGCCAGATTCCAAGGAGTTAAATAAAACTAGATTATGAGGAAGTTGACAGGGAGGCGGGTGCCTTTACCAGCTCAGTAAAACTGAGGACCTACAGGGTCAGTAAAGAGTCAATGTTGTTATTTTTGGGAGATACGGGACTTTAGCACTTTGGAAAATTTAAATTAAGATGAAATAGAAAGTGTATAAACATTCGATGAATTAGATAAATATATAAAAAATAAAAAGGTATCTCAGTGGTTGGAAAGATCAGGGTCACAGCCTTTTTTCCTTTCTTTCTTCCTCCGTCCCCCTCCCTTCCCCGCCCCTCCCCTCCCTTCCCCTCCCTTTTTCCTTTCCTTCCACCTCCTTTGGCCGTGGAAACGTAACTGTTGTGAGGTGGTGGGTAAGCTAGCAGCTCCTAGCAGAGGGGGAGGAGAGAGTTTGAAGCTTCCATAGCTGGGTTTGAATTCTGACAGTACCACCTGCTTTCTGTGCGACTATAAGCAGTGTACTTTGGACTCTGAGCGCTGGCTTCTTCTTTTCTAAAATGAGAATATGTGCTCTTTGAATGGTTCTTACAAAACTAAATTCAGTGATCAATGTAAAGTATCTAGCACGGTATCTGGAATGTGTTCAGCACTCAGTGAACAGATGCTACAAGTGTCATTGTCATCATCATTGAAGGGTATTTTAAGATTTCTTCAAGTGAGGCAAGGAGAAAAAACATATTAAGGCCTTGACAAGCATAGAAAGTGTCAAAAATTACACTGCTTATGAGTGAATCAAGCGATGAGTGCAAGGGTTTTTAATTAAGGAAGAAGACTAGGATTTTTATAGTGACCAGTGACGAGTGAATTTGTAGTGACTCAGGTCTGTTCACTTCTGGATTTTTTCAGAGCTTATTCTTTAACCACAGAGCAGAGGAGGAGAAAATAATGTTGGTACAGGGTTGGGATTCATTAATTAGATTCACATAAATTTATTAGAGACTTGTCAGTCTCAAATTACTGCTCACAAGGTATCCTATATTTTCATGGCTTATTGCATATTGTACCTCCCATGTATAGATCACATATGTAAACATTTAACCGATCTGTTTCTTATTTTAAACATTAGCATAGACCAGGGCTTCTAAACTTCAGCACTGCTGACATTTTGACTGGGTGATTCTTGGTCATTGGAGGCAGTCCTGTGGATTGCAGGGTGCTTAGAAGCATCCTTGGTTCTCCTCGCTGGGGGCTAGGTGCGCCTCTCGCAGTTGTCATAATCAAAAATGTCTCCAGACATTACCAAATGTTCCGTGGGGGTGGATGAGGGCTTACAGTGAGCTTACAGTTGAAATATTCTCCTATCTAAAATAGTTGCTAATAAAGAGTAATTGAATGGACATGTGATACTTGAATTTATAAAATTGCCAATATAACTCAACGATTCTAAATAGATTTCTGTTGCTTTATGAAACCAGTAGAATTATACATTTATGTTTCTTTTAACAAAGGAAATCTTCAAGATAGACTATAAATTACAGCAAGGAATATAAATAATTTTTCTACTTGTACATTTTGTTTTTATTTGGGAACATCTCACCACTAATTTATCCTTTTTTGCTTGACTTATTTACCAAGACAAAGCGATCACTTCTGTATATGCAGAGTGGAGCAAAAGTAGGTTTACAGCTGTTTGTATGCAAAATAATGTAATAATTAATTAATAAATAATACAAGAATAAACTCTGTTTCATGTACTCACAATGGCAAACCTGCTTTTGCTTCACCATGTATATATTTAAATCCTCTATATATTTTTATGACATATATGAAATGTTTTAAGCAAAGATTATTTGTGTTTTATTTTCCAGTTGTTTTTTATCCTTATTATTGGTGGCTGCTGTGGTCTGGAAGATCAAACAAACATGCTGGGCTTCTCGACGGAGAGAGGTATCAGTAACAGTATTTCATCTTTAGTTTAAAGATTCAAGCAAACATATGCATCTCTATTGTTAAATTAACATGCTCCTTTCAAATATGGATTTTCAAATCAACTTTATTTATTTATTTATTTTTTAGAGAGAGGGGAAGGGAGGGAGAAAGAGAGGGAGAAAACATGAATGTGCAAGAGAAACATCGATCGGTTGCTTCTCGGATGCCCCCAACTGGGGACCTGCCCACAACCCAGGCATGTGCCCTGACCTGCAGTCTAACTGGGTGACCTCTTAGTTCTCAGGAAAATGCCCAATCCACTGAGCCACACCAGTCAGGGCTAATGTTTTTTATTAAGATTGAACAAACCAGTCTAGTATTTTTAAAGCGTCAAAACAAACTTTACCACAGTCATTTTAAGTCAGTATGTGTAGAAGCATTGGTTAGCTGTAAAATGTTTTCTTTAAATAGTGTTAGACTTCATAGCAAATACAAATATTCTGTTGATAAAATAATCTGCATTCTCTTTTATAATTTATTTTAATAAATGTCTTTGCTGCAATTTCAGAGAAATTTCTAACTGACAAATATTTATTTTTGGTTTTTAATCTCCTAGAGCTTTGGGGTTTTTTTTTGGTAATCAAATCTTTTCCATTTCATGGTTAGTAATGCAAACATGTTCAAAGTGCACCTCAGTTTGATACATTTCTGTATCAGAATTGATTATGTATGTTTCATGTAATCTAAAAATTAATAAAAAATATAACACTTTTCCAGAACAACTATGATATAATACAGTCTCCTAATTTTGTATAAATTAGTTAATTGAAAGAAACAAGAATCTGAGGAGCATAAATATGTAGTAGATTTACTGTTCTGCTTCATATAATAAAAAAGTAAGTTTCTGTTTTAACATTATATCATTACATTTTGTTAGTATTAATATTAGTTTTCTCTTTGCTGTTGCATTTCCTGTGTGCTTGTATGTTTAATTTTGTGCAGCAATATAAAGCAGTGCTATAATTCCTTACCTCTTTTCCCCCCATGCTAAAAGATTATATTTCAAGGTATTTAAAGGCCACCCCAAGTATTCTAAGTTATAATACTCTAGGTTAACTATTCTTTTATTTTCAAACATGTATCATAGCTCAGTGCTTATCTATAAAATATTTACAAACTTGACACCCCTCCCACAAATCAACTATTCATCCTAACCCTCTCTGCCTTTCTGATTTCTGTGTACGGCCAGTACAATATCAATGAGAATTGATTTATTATGACCCTATGATAAAAAAGTAATCCAACTGAAAAGGAGCTTATCAACCATAAATTCATAAATATTTGGCAAGCAGTAAACTTATCTATGGAGATAAACAGTAGGAATACACATGTTAGACATTCTATTAAGGTGAAATTACAGATTCATGAAGGGAAACTTAATTGGTAGGCAAACAGTGTTAATTAAGGCCTTCTAGGTAATGGAATAAGGTAAGTGACATTTATGTCCCTATCATTAGAAAAGAATTCAGGATCAATTAGGGCTGCTGGGTTCCCACTACGTTATGATTAGCAATGTTTGAATATCTGATTTCTAAGGTTGATTATAAAATGCAACTGCAATTGTGGCATTGTGAATAGATCAATATGCAGCTCAACATTAACTGGCTTCTGAATGTGGGTAAGTTGTCTAATTAAAAATTTTTTTCCTCTAAAGAGAAAGGATTGTACCATATAATTTCCAGCTGGAGGTTTCTAGAACTCTAGGAATGTTTGTATATAATAACTAAAGTTTAGAAACAGGGTTAAATATTTGAGAAAACTGATGGGAAAAGGTCATTTACCTATGAAACTCAAACTTCTCAAAATGACAAATTGCTTTTGTTTAATATTCTCTCACCTCAGGGCAGTAATGTGTTGTTCATTACATATTATCAGAAGCTCTGGGAAGCTGATTACCTTAATTTAAAAATAAAAATGACTTTATCTTTTGATTAAAAGTCCAGATCTCTCCAAATATGTTTTGCATGTGGAATGAACCTAGGAAGGGAGAACTAGATTAGGAAGCTGCTGGGCCAGGTCTAATCTGTGCTTCTAAATATTACTGTGTTTTCTCGCTATTCCTTCAGTATGGGGCCCATTTTTCCAAAACTTATCGAGGTAGTTTTTGCTAAAGAATATAATAATGATGTTTTTATTTAATTTGCTACCTTTACTGAAATACAAAACCTGTAAAAACCTGTCTTGGTGAGAGGTCGTGCCATGTTATTGTGTCATATGTTAAAAAGGATTGCGAGGAATTTCCTCAAATTTAATTGTATTAAATTCTTTAAGTACAGAATTCTAAATGTGTTGGAAATCATTCATGTGTTGATGCCCAAAGTAAAGATGACATATTGAGATGACTAACAGAGATCTATTATTATATAATAATTTTATATTACTAAAAGGTCACCATTTTGATCTTGGAGGCCCAAAGACTTCTAACTATACTAGTTGTAGTTTATATGATAATCCCAATTATAGACTTTTTGCAAATGGAAGTAAAAATGTGTTTTTACCTGATCTCTTCTTTATTCATTTTTAACTATTAGATTAACTCTAATATTCCCCAAAGGAAAAGATCCCAGTTTTGTTTTTTTTTAAATGTGGATATGTTACTTTTTCTAAACCCTAAATGCGCCAATAGTTGTAAACTTCATAGGACGCCTGTCATTAGTAGAATGACAGTTTATCTGTAACAGTAAATGAAAATTATTTAAAGGATTTTTCTCTCCATTATTTCTGTAATTTTGTTACAGGAATTGTACAGCTACTACTTGCTTTTCTAAATATAAGAACTGTTTTAAAATGAAAATAATCTTTGGACATTTAAAAAAATATATTGTGTTAATTAAACAAGGCATATTGGCTTTTTAAACTATCTGAAGCTTTGGCTCCTTAGAAACACATAAATGCTTTTTTTGTGGTATAATTTTAATATCAGAAGGCCATTATTAATGTTATTCCTTTTGAATAACACCCTTGAGAATTCAGGGGCTCTTAAAAACTCAAAAAATGAAACTACAAAGGACTTCCATTTTAATATTATGTCTTCATATAAGAGTTCCAAACTTATTTCTGTGATAACTCTGTAAAGAATATGAAATTTGGGGGGGAGGGGGCTGTGCAAATTAATGGAAACAATAAATGGATATTGACCAAAAGAAATATTGTAATACAGCAAATGGATGAGTTCATTTTTATAGTTTGTGCATATTCCTGAAGTATGAAAACATCAAGTTTTAATGGCACATTCAATTTTAGGTAAATAGTTATTATAGTTCAAAAATACCTGTTAAAAGCAAGTGTATGTTAAAAGAAGCCTCTTAAAATATTGTTATGCTTTATAATCCTTATTTTTAATCAAAAACTTGAATTTTGAATAGATATTGTAAATTTTCTGCACATTCCATAATCACACAGAGTAAAACCTAGATTTGAGTTTAGCATTACAAACCTGAGGTTTGAGTTAAAATTAGTATACTAAAACTAAAAATAATAAACTAACAGTAGGATTTTCTAGAGATAAATGCACCAGTTCTTTTTTTGTATCTGTTATATGGGCACAAAAACAGAGAACAAGTAATAATATTAAATTATACTCCTAAAGACATGTCATAGGTTAATGATAAAATATTCTCTGAAATGCTTAATTTGTGGTAATTGGTTTCTTATCTAAATATTATTAATGTAATGCAGCGATGCTTTAAAAAGTGTGTTATTCTACCTCCTTAGGCACCCAGCTTCAGGAGAGCAAAGGGAGTGGGCAGAGTGAAGAGAGTAATGAGAAATATGATTTGGGGTGGAGAAATTAAAATTAATTAACTAGGTAATGTAGGAAACTTCTTGTAGAATTTCTCAGTCCTTTAAGAATCTCATTTTATATAATTTTTAAACATTTTAATATCTAGACAAAGCTTTCCACAGAACATGTTCATTTGTCAAAAAAGCAAGATTAACCATTATTAAGTAACGTGCTCATGTAAGTGTTTATCTTTGCAGTTAATGGCCTCACGGTTAACTTATTTTTGTTTATAATTTTTTCTTATTGAATTGCAAAATATGATTACCATTGCTTTATTTTTTTCACTTTATCCTATAAGATTAAAGATTATAGATATTCAGCATGCCTATTTATATTATCATAGTTTTAAAAATTAGCATAAGTCTACTTAAAATAATTTGAATTGAAAAGTCAAATAGGTATAGAAGCATAACATTTGAAAGTTAACTGATTCTTACTCATAAATGTGCTCCCATATGTCTTATTTTGTGTACATAATGCTTCCATTTTGCTCAATTAAGGAAAAAAATGTATTAATCTCTTGCAGTATTCCAGAAACACTGATCAGTGCTGTGGTTATAAAAAGCCATGAACTCCAGTTTTAGGGAATTTATAGCTTTAAAACATTTTCAGAAAGATATACATACACACATACACAGCTCTCTCAAAGGAGCACCTCAATTATATTGTGGCGTCATTTATAGGAAGAGAGTATATTAAAAAGTTTTGTGGAAGTCGTGTTAGTAATAGAAGTAAATGTGAATGCTGCATAGCTATACATAGAATTAATTTCTAAAAAAGAGACAAAATTTGTAGAGTTGTTTTTACTGTATATACAATATGAAACAATTTATATTTCTATGTCATTATCTTTAATTTAGACCCAGTTATTTACTTAACATTAAGAAAATTCCTCTCAGTTCACTTTAATCAGGTTAACCATAAAATCTCACATGTGAAACACACACAAATGTACCTGTATATATGCCTCTAAGGTACAAGTCTATGTATGTGTTTTTATATTAAAATATTCATTTTTTATCCATAATTCGGGTTTAACTGAGTATTTTATGTATTTGCTCAATTTGACAATTCTATTTTCAACACTAATGCTCACTCTGGAGCTGAGGGGTGCGTTCAACCCCACATAACCCACACTGATGAGAGAGTGAGAAAAGACTAATTTTCCAAAGTA